ACCTTCCCAGCCCCCCCCCACCCTCCCAGTGAGACTCTTATCTCCAATAAACCACTCAGAAAACTGGAATTGGTCCTTTGGCTCAAGTGCTAGGGCACTAGCATTGAGCTGAAGAACATAGGAAAAGTGCTCAGGCTTAGAGTTCAAACCCGATGACAGACAAAAAAAGGAAAAGCCAAAAGTGGAGGTGTGATTGAAATGGTAGAACAACTAGCCTGGAGGGGCTGGGAAGGTAGCTCAGTGGTAGAGCGCTTGCCTTGCATGCCTGAGGCCCTGGGTTCAATTCCTCAGCACCACATAAGCAAAAAGAAAAAAGCCTGAAGTGGCGCTGTGGCTTAAGTGGTAGAGAGCTAGCCTTGAGCTGAAGAGCTGAGGGACAGCGCCTAGGCCCAGAGTTCAGACTCCACAACCAAAAAAAAAAAAAGAACAACTAGAGTGGAAAAACCTAAGGGGTAGCATCCATTCTCTGCCTTCAGGCCCCATTACTAGTGCACAATAAAAAGAAGACAGAAAGATCCAAACTAGGACAAAGCAGAAGGAAACGGGGTGCATGAGATTGGCTAGATCAAATAATGATGAAGCAGAAAATGCCTGTTCTGCCATGTCTGTTCTGAGACTGTCCTGTGTCTCCCCTGTAGATGCAAACTGCAGGTGTTAGATCTGCAGAATATGTCCCTGAACATCTGGACGTCAGGGTACATAGCAATGTCTCAAGCCTGCTCAGCAGCAGCCCTGACTGACAAGCCAGCAGCCAATCACTGTGCAGCCCTGAGGGAGGAGCCCTCCTTCAGGATATTCATGGATGTCACCATCAGTGATGGCCCCTGGGATTGTGTGCTGGCCCACGTGCTCCAGTGGGTGGAGACAAGAAGAGACCAGGTTCAGCTGTGCTCTAAGAAGCTGCAGGTTCTGTTTTCCTCCATCTCTGGCTGCACCTCTCAAATACAAAGCACTCTGCGTGTGCTTCACCTGGGCTCCATCCAGGAGCTGGTTGTGGATGATTTGTGGCATCACAAAACAGCGGAAAGTATGGTTCCTTATCTGACCCAGATGAAGAACCTTCGCAAGCTTTCTCTGGCTAAGATGAAAATGGAATGTTGTTCTTGCTTATTGGAGAATTTTCACAAATACTTGTCTGAGATGCTGCTGCAGGGAAATCACCTAATTAATGACCGCGAAAGCTTCTACCCTAATGAGAAGCTGGAGAAGGTCTTCAGGTGAGGATCCTAAGTCAAAGCTGGCATGGAGAGGATTGTCTGTGAGACGTTTACCTGTTATCATCTGCCTTTCCTCCCCCAATCTGGAAGTGAAGCAGTGGTTCAAATTGGTAGAAAGATAGACTTGAGCAGAAAAGCTCAGTGAGCACACAGGGCTGAGCTGAACTTGGGGTGGGTAGATATGAAAGGGGCTCAACTGTGTGGGGTGACTGCGGGGCTGAGGGGACTGAGGAGACACAGGAAGAGGCTCCTCCTCCTGAGGGTGCTGCTTAGTTCTGCCCTGGTCTCCAATGACATCAGAAAGCAGGGTGCATGCTGGGAGTGTGCTCAGGGCAGGAAGCCCGCTGTGGAGTCCTATGTAGAAGTGAGTGGCTGTGAGTTCCTCTATAGGAAGCAAGTCTGAGCTCACAGGATAGAAACTGGAAGCAAGGGGAAGAGGAAAGCATGCTGTGCTGCGATGCTCAGATGTATGGGTGGTTGGGCCCTGCGGGCAGGAAGCCCAGTGCTGTGTCCAGACAGTGAGGAGAGGGGTCTGGGGAGGGTGCGGCCTGGGCCAGGCTCAGGGGGCACTGACAGGCATCAGGCTGGGGTGGTGGAGTGACAGGGGTCTCAGCCAGCAGCATCGTGTGGTTGGTCTCCCTCGGTGCAGCAGGACAACCTTTGCTGACCATCTCCTACCCGAGTCTGCTCTGCTCACCACCACCATTCACCCAGTCTCTCTGCTCTCTCCTCAGGACCCTCAATCCTCTGACCACTCTGTCTTTGATTTCAAATCCACTGAATGAAGCAGACCTGAGGTGTCTGTCCCTGTGTCCCTCCACCAGTCAGCTGAAGCACCTGCGTCTCAGGTCTGTGCATATGGGTGACTTGGGTCCTGGGCCCCTCCGAGCTCTGCTGGAGAGAGTGTCTGGCACCCTGGAGGCCCTGGCCTTGGAGCACTGTGGGATCACTGATGACCAGCTCTCTGCCATCCTGCCCGCCCTGAGCCAGTGCTCCCAGCTAAGATGGTTCAGCGTCTATGGGAACCCCATATCCTTGGCTGCCCTGCAGAACCTGCTGAGCCACACAGCCAGGCTGAGGCAGTTGCAGCGAGGGCTGTATCCGGCCCCTCTGGAGAGCTATGTCGACCGATGTTTGTTTTATGGATGTGAAGTCAACAAGGAGAACTTTGCCCAGGTTTGTGTGAGCTTGGTGCAGATCCTGAGGAACCTACAGCCAGCCCATAAGGTCCAGATCTGCACTTACTCATGCATAGGCTGTAAGAAGAAACAGTTCTACAGCCTGGCACCCAGTGACAACTGGGTAGTTACAGAGGAATATTCTTTTACTCGGCAGTCTAACTACTGTGGGGTTTGTGCACAGAAATAGTGCATGCTGTTGCTTGGAAGTGAACCTGAATGTCCCTTTAGGACACTGGTACATCCAATGGGAACACAAACCCTCTGCCATTCCATAAGGGAAAATATAGGAGAAGACAAGTTCCTTTGCTCTCCAGTTTCATTGTCAGGAATGTGATGTGGGGTGTTTTGGCCACCATGGGCTCCCGTGTCCTGTGTCCTCATCAAAGCAATCTGAGTGGAGTGCATTCAACCTGTGAGGAACAAGAGGGAATTCCTGGTTCCTGTATTATATAGACATAAACCCATCCTGATGGAGAGACTTCCTCTCTTCATTTTATTTTATGACAATAAATAAGTTATTGTAAGGAGAGTGCCTTTGGTTCATGCCTGTCATCCTAGCTACTCAGGAGGCTGAGATCTGAGCATCCCCATTCAAAACCAGCTGAGACAAGAAGGTCTGTGAGAGGTTTTTTTCCCCTATTGTGGGGCTTGAACTCTGTGCTTGGGCGCTGTCCCTCAGCTCTTCAGCTCAAGGCTAGCACTTCTCCCACATGAGCCACAAGGCCACTTCCCACCTTCTCTACTTAAGTGGTGCTGAGGAATCGTACCCAGAATCTCATGCATGCAAGACAAGCACTCTACCATTGAGCCACCTTCCCAGCCCTCTGTGAGACTTGTCTCTTCAGTTTCTTTATTTCTTCTCCTCTCCCAAAGTTGAAAGGGGCCAGTGGTTCAAATTGGTGGAAGACTGATTTGAGCAAAAAAGCTGTGGGATACTGTCCAGGCCCTGAGTTCATGCATTAGGCCTGAAAAAAGAAAAAGAAAAATTAAGCTGGGTGCCAATAGGTCAGGCCTGTAATCCTAGCTATTCAGAATGCTGAGATCTGAAGATCACAATTGAAAGCTACTCTCAAGACTCTTATCTCCATTGAACCACCAGAAAACCAGAAATGACACTGTGCCTCAAGTAGTAGAGCTCTTCCTTGAGCTGAATTGCTCAGGAACAGTACCCAGGTCCAGAGTGCGTGCCCATGAACAACAACAACAATAAAATTAAAGCAAAATTACTAGTGAAGCTTAGGCACCAGCAGATTAATATCTGTAATCCTAGGTAAACAGGAGAGTGAGTCCTGAGGATGGCAGTTTCCAGGCAGCCCAGGAAGAAAATCCTTGAATTTCTTATCTCCCATAAGCCTTTTGTGAGGACAGACAAACCTCAGACTTGGAGCTGTGTCAAGTGGCAGAGTGACTGACAGCCAAGGGGAAAAAGGCAAAGGGACACAACCAAGCATTCAATTCAATCCTCAGTACCTGCATAAAGAAGAAAATATAGTGCTCATGAGTCTTTGATAGAAAACTAGTCCTAAGTCTAGGAATGTGGCTCAATCTTAGAGTGCTTGCCTAGCATGCATGAAGCCCTGGGTTCAATTCCTCAGTACCACACACACAGAAAAAGCCTGAAGTGCTGGGGCTCAAATGGTAGAGTGCTAGCTTTAAACACAGAGAGGCTTAGGGATCGTGCCCTATCCATGATTTGTGCCCCAAAACTGGCAAAAAGAAAAAGAAGGAAAGGAGTCCTGTCCAAATCCAGGTGCAGTGGAGAACTCGTGGCTGATTTCCTGCTGTGACATGACTACAGGAAGCCGCTGGCACCTGTGCATTGAGCACTGACCATGGAGCCCACTAACTCACTTGGGGCCAGACTGCTTCACCACAGGGGCTGTGAGGCCTTACACACCTTGCTGCAGCCCTGAGTGCCAGCTCACCACACTACACATGGTGAAGCTGACATCCACCTCTGAATCACTGGAGTGATTCCTCAACCTCCCCAGACCCATCATCATTCACAAGGCAGCCATCTTCCTTTTCCACACCTGGTTGAATACAGGAGTGGCTCGAAGCCCCCAGGGTGGCAGGCAGCATGGGGAGGGGGGACACAGCTGTGGTGAATACACCTTGCAGAGTCTGACCAGCAGGGGGCAGCAGAGGCCGGCCTAGTGCAGAGAGGCCTGTTGTCAGCACACACAAAGCCCACACCTGAGGCTCCTGAGCCAACTGTGAGGAGTGTCCAGGGCTTTGGCATCTGGCCAGCAGGGAGGGGCCCTGGGAAGGAGGGCCTTGCTCCAGGGACTGGCTCTCATTGCCACCTAAAATCTTCCAGGCCTCATGCCCACCTGTGGGGCAAATGGCCAACCTGGGATCCCCCTAGTCAGAGTGGAAGGAGGGATGCGATGTAGTCTTAGGCCTGTGACCCAGACTCTGGGGAGTTCCTTAGAGAAACACTGCTGCAGCCAAAGCCCAGCACAAATGCTGACCTAGCATCAGCCATCTGCAGCAATGAAGAACTCCAAGGGGCTTCTCAGGCACCTGAGGAGAGAGCAAATGGCTACACCTGGGAATTGCTGGAGACACTGAGGGTGGGTCAGCCTCCAAGGAGAGGACCATGTGGAACATGATCCAGGCTGCTGTGACCACAGCCAGGATGCTGTGTGGTGAAGAGCCTGACTGCAGTCACAGCTACTCTCCAGGGGTCTGACCCCAAGGGCAGGTGTCCTGGAATGCTGGTTGGTATTCCCCAGACCCCACACACCAGACAAGTTCTCTGCAGGTCAATAGGCGGATAGGACTTCAGAAGTACAAAGCGATCAAGATGTCACTGGAGTTCTAGAAAGAAAGTGAGAATGGAAGGAAGAATCCCAGGGAGGAAGGTAGGAGAAGAGGAAGGAAGGAAAGGAGGAAGGCCTTGTGGACAGGCTCAGTGTGGAGATCTTGACTGGCAGCACAACACCCCAGCATCTAACTCAAGCACAGACAGACATGACATTTGCTAACATAGAAAGCAGTGCTGAATTATTTTCTGAATGCAAAACATTGTACAGGGGGCTGGGAAGGTGGCTTAGTGGTAGACTGCTGGCCTAGCATGCATGAGGCCCTGGGTTCCATTCCTCAGTACCACGTAAACAAAGCTGAAAGTGGTGTGGCTCAAGTGGTAGAGTGCTAGCTTTGAGCCAAAGAAGCTCAGAGACAGTGCCCAGGCCCTGAGTTCAAGCCCCAGGACTGGAAAATGAGCAAAACCAAAACCAAAGAACAACAAAAATATTTGATTTATAGTTCAGTGTATCCTGATAGCATTACTCCAGAATAATATACCCAGATCCGCCCCTCTCTCTCTCGCTCTCTCTCTCTCTCCTCCTCCTCTCATTTTCTCCCCCCCTCCCTGTTCTTCTCAACCCCTCTCTCCCTCTCTCTACTTCTCTCTCCCTCTCCATTGTTTGGTTGAAGTTCAGGGCATAGTCCTCTTGATGTAATTGGATGCAAGAGTATCACAGCCAGGCCTTGGTATCTCATGCCTGTAATCCCAGCTACTCAGGAGCCTGAGATCTGAGGATAGCAGTTCTAAGCCAGCCCAGGCAGGAAAGTCTGGGAGACTCTTATCTCCAATAAACCACTCAGAAAATCAGAAGTGGTACTCTGGCTCAAGTGGTAGAGCACTCGCCTTGAGCTAAAGAGCTCAGTAATAGTGCCCAGGCCCAGAGTTCAAGCTAGAGGACAGTAAAAACAACAACAATGAAATGTCTCACACTTTTCTTCCTAGTCTGGCTTTGAACTTCATTACTCAGAACTCGGCAACCTAAGTAGCTAGGATTCAGGCATGAGCCAGCATTGTTTGGCTTATAGTTTTGTTTTAATTATTTGTTGGTTGGTTTAATCAAAACAAGATATCAGAATGTAGTGCTGTATAAGCCATTCTGCAAGTAATTCTCCCTTCAGCCTCCCTAACAGCTGTGTCTAGGAGGAAGTTGCCACACTGGGTTTGGGTGCATTTATCATGCAAAAGCAAAAAAGCAAAAACAAGAAAAAAAACAAACCTCAAATAAACAAGATTGTTTTATTTCCCCGTTAAACAAACAGAAAACCCATCATCTGAGTGCTAGTGGCTCAGGACTGTAATTCTGTCTACTCAAGAGGCTGAGATGAGATTATCCAGGTTGGACACCAGCCCACAAAAAAAGTCCAGGGCTGGGAAGGTGGCTCAGTGATAGAGCACTTGCCTTGCATGCTCGAGGCCCTGGGTTCGATTCCTCAGCACCACATAAGAAAAAAGCCGAAGTGGTGCTGTGGTTCAAGTGGTAGAGCGCTAGCCTTGAGCTGAAGAGCTGAGGGACAGCACCCAGGCCCAGAGTTCAGGCCCCACGACCGGACCCCCCCTCCCCCCCAAAAAAAAGAAGAAAAAAAAACAAAAGAAAAAAAGTCCTGAAGACTTTTTTTTTGCCAGTCCTGGGCCTTGAAGTCCTGGACAGAGCACAGTCCCTGATCTTCTTTGTGCTCAAGGCTAGCACTCTACCACCTGAGTCTCAGAGCTACTTCTGCCTTTTTCTGTTTATGTGGTACTGAGGAATCAAACCCATGCCTTCATGCATGCTAGGCAAGCACTACCACTAAGCCACATTCCCAGATCCCTGAAGACTGTTATTTTTCCCCCCATGGTCCAGGGGTTGGAGTTTGGGCCTGTACTGTACTTGAGCTCTTCAGCAAAAAACAAGGAATCTACTACTTGAGCCACAATGCCACTTCTGGTTTTCTGGTGTTTTTGTTTTTTTTTTTGGTGGGTCGTGGGGCTTGAACTCTGGGCTTGGGCGCTGTCCTTGTGCTCTTCAGCTCAAGGCGAGTGCTCTACCAATTGAGCCACAGCACCACTTCCGGTTTTCTAGTGGTTTATTGGAGATAAGAGTCTCAGGAACTTTCCTGCCCAGGCTAGCTTTGAACCGCAATCCTCAGATCTCAGCCTCCTGAGTAGCTAGGATTACAGGGGTGAGCCACCAGCGCCCAGCTTCTGGTGGTTATTTGGATATAAGGCCTTCTCTGCTTAGGCTGGCTTTGAACCATGATCCTCAGATCTCAGCCTCCTGAGTAACTAAGATTACAGGCTTGTGTCACCAGAGTCTGGCTCCTGAACACTATTATCTCCAATTTTAACCACCAAAAAGCCTGAAGTGCAGGAGTGGCTCAAGTGGTAGAGCAGAGTGCTAGGCTTGATCTGTAAAACTGAAGGGAGGAGTTGTGAGATACTGAGATCAAGCCCCAGTACAATCTCTTTCTGTCTTTGTCTCTGTCTCTGTCTCTGTCTCTGTCTGTCTCTCTGTCTGTCTGTCTGTCTGTCTGTCTGTCTGTCTGTCTGTCTGTCTGTCTCTCTCTCTCTCTCTCTCTCTCACACACACACACACACACACACAGCGCCAGATTATCTTTGTCAGTGACTATGGGCCTCCTAGCTAGAGGCAAAACATCTACAGCCTGTGGTGGAGAGCAGTGCAAGCCTGTCTGTCTCACACACTTGGACGTGAAGGACACAGAGGAGTGAGGAAAGCACAAGCGTTGCAGTGCACACAAGTCAGGACTGGGTGTTAAACTTTCCTTCTCCCTACCCTCCCCCTTTCCTCCAGGACCCTCTGGACAAGGCAGAAATCCCATCAGGATCAAGTGGGTGGAGCTTCAGGACTGAGCAGATGCTGCTTTCTGATTGGACACTGGGAGTTGGCCAAGGGTAGGACCAGTAGACAGGGGGAATAAAGCTTCAGAGGAGCCAGGGGAGTTCAGAATCCTGGTAAGTGGAGACACTGCCTGTGCCTGCTCCCTTCAGAGAGCCCTGCTGATCTGTCCACATCTGGTAAGTCCCAACTCCATGAGGACCCCCCAGCATTCCCCTCAGCCAGTCCCAGGGGTGACAGGAGGTCCAGTATGCCACAGAGCATTGTGATTTGGACCTCTTCTTTTGTGCTTGTTCTGGGGCTTGCACTCAGAGTCTGGGGGTTGTCCCTGAGCTTCTTTTGCTAAAGGCTAGCACTCTACCACTTTGAGTCACAGCAACACTTTTGGCTTTTGTTGTGTATGTGGTACTGAGGAATGGAGTCCAGGGCTCCATTCATGCATGCTAGGCAAGCACTCTACCACTAAGCCACATCACCAGGCCCTGGGATTGGTGTTGTTGTGTGTGTGTGTGTGTGCTGCCAGCTTTGGGGCTTGAACTCAGGGCCTTGGCACTGTCCTGATATTTTTCCTCAAGTCTGTCTACCTCTTGATCCACAGATCTACTTCCAGGTTTTTGGTGGTTTTGAAGATAGTCACAGACTTGCCGGACATGGGTGGCTCACAACTGAAATCCTTACTACTCAGGAGGCTGAGATCTAAGGATCACAGTTCAAAGGCAGTCCGGGCAGGAAAATATCTCCAATAAACCACTCAGAAAACCAGACATGGCACTGTGGCTCAAGTGGTACAGCACTAACATTGAGCTGAAGAGATGAAGGACAGAGCCAGGCCCAGAGTCAAAACCCTTCACTGTAGGGGGGAAAAAAGAGTCTCAGACTTTTCTTCCTAGACTGGCTTTGAACTGTGTTCCACAGATCTTAGGCTCTTTAGGAGCTAGATTACAAGTGTGAGCCACCGGCGCCTACCTTGGAATTTTTCAATAATTTTGTACTTTATTATTATTTGCACTAGAACTAGAGCTTGAAAGTAAGGTCTGGGCATTGCCATTCAACTTTTTCCTTCAAGCCTTTCACAACACTCCTAAAGACACAACTTCTCTTCCAGCTTTAAGTAGAATCTCAATATTTTACCTGAACACTCAGACAATATCCAAACATCCATGCTAGTTAAATACGGAGTTCAAATCAGGAATCTTTGGCTCCTGTTTGTAATCCTATCAACTTGAGGTTAGCTAAGAGTGAAGAATCCAAGTAACAGGATATTCTGGGTGGAGAAGGTCCGGATCTCCTCAAAAATAAATAAACCTTAACTGGAGCTGTGGCTCAAGTGGTAGAGACTGGCTTTGACCAGCCCTCGGGAACAGCAACCAGGCCTTAAAGATCAATCTCTAGTGCAAGCACAAAAAGAAATACAAATTTAAAGCACCAAAAAAACCAGTCAGATACCAGTGCTTTATACCACTAACCCTAGCTACTCAAGAGACTGAAATCTGAGGTGATCCAGATCCAGCCTAGATAGAACTCCATGAGGCTTTATTTTTCCCCCCATACTGGGGATGGAAGTCAGGGCCTGGGAGCTGTCCCTGAGTTGCTTTTGCTCAAGGTTACCATTTTGCCACTTCAGCCACAGCACCACTTTGTGTTTTCTGTGGATGTGGTACTGAGGAATGGAACCCTGGGCTTCATGCGTGCTATGCAAGCACTCTGCCACTAAGCCACATTTCCAATCCTTGAGATTCTTCTCTTCAGGGGCTGGGAAGGTGATCAGTGGTAGAGCACTTGCCTTGCATGCATGAGGCCCTGGGTTCGATTCCTCAGCACCACATAAAGCAAAAAAAAAAAAAAAAAAGCCAGGCCGGGCGCTGGTGGCTCACGCCTGTAATCCTAGCTACTCAGGAGGCTGAGATCTGAGGATCGCGGTTCAAAGCCAGCCGGGGCAGGAGAGACCGTGAGACTCCTATCTCTAATAAACCACCAGAAAACCGGAAGTGGCGCTGTAGCTCAAGTGGTAGAGCGCTCGCCTTGAGCTCAAGAGCTGAGGGACAGCGCCCAGGCCCAGAGTTCAAGCCCCATGACTGACAAAAAAAAAAAAAAAGCCAGAAGTGGCACTCTACCACTTGAGCGCTAGCCTTGAGCTGAAGAACTAAGGGACAGCGCCCAGATCCAGAGTTCAGCCCCACGAACGGACCACTCCCACCCCACCTCTCCAAAAAAAAGAGATTCTTCTCTTCCGTTAAGCAGTAAAATTTCAGAATTGGATATGTGGTTCTGGTGGAAGACTGCCGGCCTTGGGTAGGAAAGCTAAGGGTAAACAAGAGGCATTGAGTTCAAGCCCCATACTCCGGGGATGCTCTCTTTCTCTCTTTTTTTGTCTCTTTTTCTTCTGTATAGTAATTTATTTCAGAGTGGGGGGGGTGGCGGGGAGTGGCTATAGGAGAAGTTCTGGGTGTTTTGAAGATTCTCTTTTTCTGTGTTGGTCCTGTGTTCTAACCCAGATCCTCCTAGGTGCAGAGGACCCCCACCGCACAGCTCCACCTCGCTGCCAGAGCAGTTCCTGAAAGGTGAAGCCTTGTCCTGATCTGTGTACCCCAACCTCCTGCTCCTCTGGCAGTGAGGAACATCTCCTGGGTGGAAGAGCAGCCCAGTGAGTCTCTCTCTCAGAGTCAGCCTTGGGTGAGGGCTCCATCTCAGAGGTGCTGCTTTCTATACAGCACACCAGCCTGTGCCTGTCTTTACTATTGCTCAATAACAGTGGTGACACTGCTTACTAATGGTGTCTATTGCCTGTAGTCCTCATCTGAGGCGGGGATATCTAAGAAGGAAAAGAGGACAGAGATTGGGCAGCTGACATTGCTGTGGCTTTTCTTTTAGCAATTTTGAGAGATGGGCAGACCTCAAGACAACAAGCTACAGTGTGTCGTGTGTCCTTGGCTAACTCCTCTCCTCCTTGCTACTCAGAAGGCTGAGATCTGAGAGTCGGGGTTCCAAGACAGCCCAGGCAGGAGAGTCTTTGATACTTTGATCTTCAATTAAACATGAAAATGACAGAAAGGCAGCTATGGCTCAAGTGGTAGAGCATTAATACTAGTCCCATAGGGAAGTGCCAGGACCCGAGTTCAAGGCACAGGACACACACACACACACACACACACACACACACACACACACACACACACACACACACACACACACACACACACACAAAGCTTGGGCTGACCTTTAGGCTCCTCATTATCCCTGACAATTGACCCTGAGCTCAGAGTAGTGGCTGGAACTGGATGGGACCATGATGAGCTTGGGCTGTCTATGTGGGGAGCATCCTGCTGCCCTGTGTCCCTGCGCTGTGCTTGGGGGGGCATCGGGGCTATGTGGAAAGGGCATGAACTGACATCTCCCCATGGCTGGAGTCGGGATGTGGACTTTGAGATGAGTTCTCTCTGAGAAGGGACTTCTCAGCTTCAGCCACTAAAGCTGCCTCTTCCTGTGTGCTCCCAGGCCCTCTCCCTGCAGCTCCAGCACACTGAGCACCATGTCCCTGCCCACACTGCGGCAGCTGGCCATGCAGAGCCTGCTAGAGGACCAGGCCTTGGCCATCTCTGCTCTGGACGTCCTTCCCTTGGATCTCTTCTCCACGCTGTTCAGAGAGGTGGTTGCCAAGAGACGCATGGAGGTGCTGAAGGCCATGGTGCAGGCCTGGCCCTTTGCCTGCCTCCCCCTGGGGGCCCTGGTGGGCTCAGTTGACCTGGAGATCTTACAAGTCACCCTGGAGGGCCTTGATGTGCTGCTTGAGCAGGGAGCGGGGCCCAGGTAAGGGGACCCAGGTTGGGGGTCAGGGAGGATCCTGGAGTCCAGGGATGAAACAAACTGGAGTCAGCCAAAGTGCAGTGGACTCAGGGGAGACCTGGGGGTGAGAATATCAGGGATTCCTGCATAGTTCCTTGTGGAAGTGGGCCCCTAGGTGTGGAAGGTTTCTGGAGATTGCTGCAGCCATGGCTGCCAGATCCCCACCTATAACAGACTATGGTGATGGAGTGGGGAAAGGTTGGGGAAACTTTCATGATGTCGATGGTGTACTCCTATAATCTTATCTACTTAAGTGGCTGAGATATTGAAAAGTCAGCCTGGGTAAGAAAATGTCTGAGGTTCTTATCTCCAATCAAATAAAGCCAAAGCCTAGAGCCAGTGGCTCACTCTTCTAATCCTCCTACTCTGGAGGCTGAGATCTGAGATTAGATTCAAAGCCAGCCTGGGTGGGAAAGTCTGAGACTCTTACTACTTAGCCCAGTGGCTCAAGTGATACAGCACTAGCCTTGAGATGAAGAGCTTAGGGACATTGCTGAGGCCAAGAGTTCAAACCTTAAAACCAACAAAAAGGAAAGGAAAAGGGAAAGCCAAAAGTTGAGGTGTGATTCAAATGTTAGAACAACTAGCCTGGAGTAGAAAAATGTACTGCCCAGCATCCATGCCCTGCCTTCAGGCCCCACTAGTGCACAATACAAAGAAAAAAGACAGAAAGAGAGAAACTAGGAAAAAGCAGGGGGAAACATAGTACGCTAGATTGGCTTGATCAAATAATGATAAAGCAGAAAGTGGCCGTTCTGCCATGTCTGTTCTGAGACTGTCCTGTGTCTCCCCTGTAGATGCAAACTGCAAGTGTTAAATCTGCAGAATATGTCCCTGAACATCTGGACCTCAGGGTACATAGCAATGTCTCAAGCCTGCTCAGCAGCAGCCCTGACTGACAAGCCAGCAGCCAATCACTGTGCAGCCCTGAGGGAGGAGCCCCCCTTCAGGATATTCATGGATGTCACCATCAGTGATGGCCCCTGGGATTGTGTGCTGGCCCACGTGCTCCGGTGGGTGGAGACAAGAAGAGACCAGGTTCAGCTGTGCTCTAAGAAGCTGCAGGTTCTGTTTGCCTCCACCTCTGGCTCCACCTCTCAAATACAAAGCACTCTTGGAGTGCTTCATCTGGACTCCATCCAGGAGCTGGTTGTGGATGATTTCTGGCATCACAAAACACTGGAAAGTATGGTTCCTTATCTGACCCAGATGAAGAACCTTCGCAAGCTTTCTCTGGCTAAGATGAAAATGGAATGTTGTTCTTGTGTTGTGGTGAATTTACACAGATACTTGTCCCAAAACCTGCTGCAGGGAAATCATCAAGTTAATGAACGAGAAGGCTTCTTCCCTCATGAGAACCTGGAGAAGGTCTTCAGGTGAGGATTCTAAGTCAAAGCTGGCATGGAGAGGATCGTCTGTGAGACTTTTACCTAATATCATCTGCCTTTCCTCCCCCAATCTGGAAGTGAAGCAGTGGTTCAAATTGGTAGAAAGATAGACTTGAGCAGAAAAGCTCAGTGAGCACACAGGGCTGAGCTGAACTTGGGGTGGGTAGATATGAAAGGGGCTCAACTGTGTGGGGTGACTGCGGGGCTGAGGGGACTGAGGAGACACAGGAAGAGGCTCCTCCTCCTGAGGGTGCTGCTTAGTTCTGCCCTGGTCTCCAATGACATCAGAAAGCAGGGTGCATGCTGGGAGTGTGCTCAGGGCAGGAAGCCCGCTGTGGAGTCCTATGTAGAAGTGAGTGGCTGTGAGTTCCTCTACAGGAAGCAAGTCTGAGCTCACAGGATAGAAACTGGAAGCAAGGGGAAGAGGAAAGCATGCTGTGCTGCGATGCTCAGATGCATGGGTGGTTGGGCCCTGCGGGCAGGAAGCCCAGTGCTGTGTCCAGACAGTGAGGAGAGGGGGCTGGGGAGGGTGCGGCCTGGGCCAGGCTCAGGTGGCACTGACAGGCATCAGGCTGGGGTGGTGGAGTGACAGGGGTCTCAGCCAGCAGCATCGTGTGGTTGGTCTCCCTCGGTGCAGCAGGACAACCTTTGCTGACCATCTCCTGCCCGAGTCTGCGCTGCTCACCACCACCATTCACCCAGTCTCTCTGCTCTCTCCTCAGGACCCTCAAGCCTCTGACCACTCTGTCTTTGATTTCAAGTCCACTGAATGAAGCAGACCTGAGGTGTCTGTCCCTGTGTCCCTCCACCAGTCAGCTCAAGTACCTGCGTCTCAGGACCATATATTTGGGTCAATGGAGTCCTGGGCCCCTCCGAGCTCTGCTGGAGAGAGTGTCTGGCACCCTGGAGGCCCTGGCCTTAGAGCACTGTGGGATCACTGAGGCCCAGCTCTCTGCCATCCTGCCCGCCCTGAGCCAATGCTCCCAGCTGAGCTTCTTTAGCATCTATGGTAACCGCATGTCCTTGGCTGCCCTGCAGAACCTGCTGAGCCACACAGCCAGGCTGAGGCCATTGCAGCGAGGGCTGTATCCGGCCCCTGTGGAGAGCTATGACCACGAATGTTTGTTGTATGGATGCAGAGTCAACAGGGAGAGATTTGCCCAGGTTTGTGTGAGCTTGGTGCAGATCCTGAGGGACCTACAGCCAGCCCAAAAGGTCCAGATCTGCACTTACTCATGCACATGCTGTAAAAAGAACCAGTTCTGTAGCCTGGCACCCAGTGGCAGTTGGATTTTCACAGAGGAATAGTCTTTTTACAAGTGAGATCAAATACTGTGGGGTTTGTGCCTGGGAATAGTTTATGCTATTTCTTGGGGTCCCTCAGAAATGAACCTACATGTCTCCTTTAGAACACTGGTACATCCAGCGGAGCCTTCGATAGCTCAGTTGGTAGAGTGGAGGACTGTAGTGGAGAACACTGGTACATCCTAGTGGGAACACAAACCCTCTGCCACTCCCCAGGGCAAAATATAGGAGAGAACAAGTTCCTTTGCTTTCCACTTTCAGTGTCAGGACGGTGATGTGGGATGTTCTACTCACCATGGGCTCCTGTGTCCTGTCTTCTCAAAAAGAAATCTGAGTGGTGTGCATTCAGCCTGGGAGGAACAAGAGAGAATTTCTGTTTCCTGAATGGTTGTATGGAAATGAATCATTCTGATGAAGTCACTTACCCTGTTCATTTTAGTGTGTGACAATAAATAAATTATTGTACGCAGAGTGCCATCGGTTCATGTCTGTAATCCTAGCTACTCAGGAGGCTGAGATCTGAGGATCCCCATTCAAGATCAACCAAGACAGGAAGATCTGTGAGACTTTTGATTACAATTATCCTTCTTTCCTCCCCCAAAGCTGAAGTGGGTCAGTGGTTCAAATTGCTAGAAGGCTAGACTTGAGCAAAAAAGCTCAGGGATAGTGTCAGGTCCTGAGTTCATACCCTAAGACTAAACAAAAAGAAAAATTAAGCCGGGTGCCAGTGGCTCACACCTGTAATCCTAGCTGTTCAGGAAGCTGAGTTCTTAGGATCACAGTTCAAAGCCAGTCTCGGCAGGAAAGTCTACCAGACTCTTATCTCCAATGAACCACCAGAAAACCAGAAGTGGTGTTGTTGCTCAAGAGGTAGAGCTCTTGCCTTGAGCTGAATTGCTTAGGGACAGTACCTAGGTTGAGAGTGCATGCCCCATAAACAACAACAGAAAAAAGCAAAATTACTAGTGAGGCTTAGGCACCAGTAGCTCAGTTTCTGTAATTCTAGGTATACAGGAGAATTTGTTCAGAGAATACCAATTTCCAGGTAGCCCAGGAAGAAAATCCTTGAGTTTCTTTACTCCCACAACCTTTTGTTAGGATAGACCAAAATTCAGACTTGGAGCTGTGTCAAGTGGCAGAGTGACTGACAGCCAAGGGGGAAAACCTTAAGGGACAGAACCAAGCCCTCAATTCAATCCTCAGTACCTGCATAAAGAAGAAAATATAGGGCTGGGAAGGTGGCTCAGTGGTAGAGTGCTTGCCTTGCATGCATGAGGCCCTGGGTTTGATTCTTCTGCATCACATATGCAAAAATAGAAAAGCCGGAAGTGGAGCTGTGGCTCAAAGGGGTAGAACGCTAGCCTTGAGCTGAAGAGCTGAGGAACAGCACAGAGGCCCAGAGTTCAGGTCCTACCACCGGAACCAAAAAAAAAAGAAAATATAATGCTCATGAGTCTTTGACAGAAAACTAGTCCTAAGTCTGGGAATCTGGCTCAATGGTAGTGTGCTTGCCTAGCATGCATGAAGCCCTGGGTTCAATTCCTCAGTACCACACATACAGAAAAAGCCTGAAGTGCTGGGGGTCAGATGGTAGAGTGCTCTCCATGAACACAGAGAGGCTCAGGGAAGGTGGCCTGTTCTTGAATTCAAGCCCAGGATTGGCAGAAAAAGAAAAAAAAGGATTGGAGTCCTGTCCAAATCCAGGTGCAGTGGAGAACCCGTGGCTGATTTCCTGCTGTGACATGACTACAGGAAGCCGCTGGCACCTGTGCATTGAGCACTGACCATGGAGCCCACTAACTCACTTGGGGCCAAACTGCTTCACCACAGGAGCTGTGAGGCCTTACACACCTTGCTGCAGCCCTGAGTGCCAGCTCACCACACTACACATGGTGAAGCTGACATCCACCTCTGAATCACTGGAGTGATTCCTCAACCTCCCCAGACCCATCATCATTCACAAGGCAGCCATCTTCCTTTTCCACACTGGTTGAATACAGGAGTGGCTCGAAGCCCCCAGGGTGGCAGGCAGCATGGGGAGGGGGGACACAGCTGTGGTGCATACACCTTGCAGAGTCTGACCAGCAGAGGGCAGCAGAGGCCGGCCTAGTGCAGAGAAGCCTGTTGTCAGCACACACAAAGCCCACACCTGAGGCTCCTGAGCCAACTGTGAGGAGTGTCCAGGGCTTTGGCATCTGGCCAGCAGGGAGGGGCTCTGGGAAGGAGGGCTTTGCTCCAGGGACTGGCTCTCAGTGCCACCTAAAACCTTCCAGGCCTTGTGCCCACCTGTGGGGCAAATGGCCAACCTGGGATCCCCCCAGTCAGAGTGGAGGCAGGGACGCGATGTAGTCTTAGGCCTGTGCCCCAGACTCTGGGGAGTTCCTCAGAGCCCCGGTGCCACAGCCAATGCCCAGCACAAGGACGCTGACCTACCATCAGCCGTCTGTAGCAATGAAGAACTCCAAGGGGCTCCTCAGGCACCTGAGGAGAGAGCAAATGGCTACACCTGAGAACTGCTGGAGACATTCGGGGTGGTACAGCCTCCAAGGAGAGGACCATGTGGAACAGGATCCAGGTTGCTGTGACCACAGCCAAGGTGCTGTGTGGTGAAGAGCCTGACTGCAGTCACAGCCACTCTCCAGGGGTCTGACCCCAAGGGCAGGTGTCCTGGAATGCTGGTATTCCCCAGACCCCATTCACCAGACAGATTCTCTGCAGTTCAATAGGCGGATAGGACTTCAGAAGTATAAAGCAATCAAGATGTCACTGGAGTTCTAGAAAGGGAGTGAGACTGGAAGGAAGAATCCCAGGGAGGAAGGTAGGAGAAGAGGAAGGAAGGAAAGGAGGAAGGCCTTGTGGACAGGCTCAGTGTGGAGATCTTGACTGGCAGCACAACAGCCCAGCATCTAACTCAAGCACAGACAGACATGACATGTGCTAACATAGAAAGCAGTGCTGAATTATTTTCTCAAGTGCCAAAGATTGAACAGGGGGCTGGGAAGGTGGCTTAGTGGTAGACTGCTGGCCTAGCATGCATGAAGCCCTGGGTTCAATTCCTCAGTACCACATAAACGATGCTGAAAGTGGTGCTGTGGCTCAAGTGGTAGAGTGCTAGCTTTGAGAAAAAGAAGCTCCGTGACAGTGCCAGGCCCTGAGTTCAAGCCCCAAGACTGGCAAATAAGCAAAACCAAAACCAAAGAAGAACAACAAAAATATATGATTTGTTGTCCTGTGTATCCTGATAGCATTTCTCCAGAATAATGTAGCCAGATTCTTCTCTCTCTCTCTGTCTCTGTATCTGTCTCTCTGTCTCTGTCTCTCTCTCCTCCTCTCCACCTCCCCCGCCCCTCTCCCTGTCCCTCTCTCCCCCTTTCTCCCTCTCTCTCCTTTTCTCTCCCTCTCTGATGTTCAGCTTGGAGTTCATGGCATATTCCTCTTGATTAATTGGAAATAAGGGTCTCACAGCCAGGCCTTGGTGGCTCAGGATGTAATCCTAGCTACTCAGGAGCCTGAGATCTGAGGATTGCAGTTCAAAGCCAGCCCAGGCAGGAAAGTCTGGGCTTATCTTCAATAAACCTCTCAGAAAACTGGAAGTGGCACTGTGGCTCAAGTGGTAGAGCGCTCCACTTGAGCTGAAGAGCTGAGTAATAGTGTCCAGGCCCAGAGTTCAAGCCCAACGACAGTAAAAAGAACAACAAGAAAAAGTCTCACACTTTTCTTCCCAGGCTGGTTTTGAACTGCAGTCATCAGAACTCAGCCACCTGAGTAGCTAGGATTCAGGCATGAGCCAGCATTTTTTGACTTATAGTTTTGTTTGATTATTTGTTGTTTTGTTTAATCCAAACAAGATATGAGAATGTAGTGCTGTATAAGCCATTCTGCAAGTAATTCTCCCTTCAGGCTCCCTAACAGCTGGAGTCTAGGAGTAAAATTGCCACACTGGGTTTGGGTGCATTTATGGTGCAAAAGCAAAAAAGCGAAAACAAAAACAAAAAACAAACCTTAGATAAACAAGATTGTTTTATTTTCCCCGTTAAACAAACAGGAAACCTATCATCTGAGTGCTAGTGGCTCAAGACTGTAATTCTGTCTACTCTGGAGGCTGAGATGTGATTATCTCAGTAGGAAACCAGCCCAGATAAGAAAAAAAGCCCTGAAAACATTTTTTTTTTTTTTTTTGCCAGTCCTGGGCCTGGAAGTCCTGGACAGAGCACAGTCCCTGATCTTCTTTGTGCTCAAAGCCAGCACTCTACCTCTTGAGCCCCAGAGCCACTTCTGCCTTTTCTGTGTATGTGGTACTGAGGAATTGAACCCATGCCTTCATGGGTTCAGCACTCTCCCACTAAGCCACATTCCCAGATCCCTGAAGCCTTTTTTTTTCTTTTTCTTTTTTTTTTTCCAGTTCAATTCATGTTTAATTTTTTTTGGTGTGAGTGTGTATGTTTTTTTATTTTGGAAATACTGTACAGAGGGGTTACAATGCTCCTTCTTTGTTTCCCCTTCCCATCCCTTCTCATCCGTCCCTCCTCCCCACCACCAAAGTTGTAAAGTTCGTTTTCAATATAATGACTCGTACATCTCATTGTTGCAATGGGTCCACCTGTATCCTTATTTAAATGACTTGTTTTTTCCCTTCCCCTCCACAAATTATACCAACATCAAATACAGTGAAAGCAGGGGTTATACCGTCGGGGAGGGACATACAAAGCAACAAAGAAATAATCTTATAATTATGTTAGAAACAATTGCATGAAAGAAAAAAACATTTGAGGGGCTGGGAAGGTGGCTCAGTGGTAGAGCGCTTGCCTTGCATGCCTGAGGCCCTGGGTTTGATTCCTCAGCACCACATAAGCAAAAAGAAAAAAGCCGGAAGTGGCGCTGTGGTAGAGCGCTAGCCTTGAGCTGAAGAGCTGAGGGACAGCACCCAGTCCCAGAGTTCAAGCCCCACGACTGGATCCCGCCCCCCCACTAAAAAAAAAAGAAAGAGAAAAGAGAAAAAACATTTGAATACATATCTTAGGGTTCATTTCCCTAACATCAACTTATGTGACCTTTTCTGCTTGACTTAGACATATACTAGTTATATACTAGTTATTGCAAATAAGGGAAACCATGGGTCCTATGTTTCTTTGGGCCTGGCTTACTTCACTTAATATAATTTTTTCCAAGTCTTTCCATTTCCTAACAGATGGGGCAATGTCATTCTTTCTGATGGAGGCATAGAATTCCATTGTGTATATACCACATTTTCTTGATCCATTCATCTACTGAGGGGCATCTGGGTTGGTTCCATATCTTAGCTATGGTAAACAATGCTGCAATAAACATAGTTGTGTTGGTAGCTTTAGTGTGGTCTTGTTTGTGAACATTTGGGTAAATGCCCAAAAGTGGGATTACTG